TTAATTAAATGCCTAGACATCGTCGAAGCATCTACACAAGAAGCCGACATGACAACCTGAGACCGGGCACATCGGTTCAATCAGTCGACGGGAAAATCTGAAATTCAATTAAAGTGTATGCATATTCATAATAATAATAATTTACCTTGTTCCAAAACAGTACTTTTGATACAAGGGGTGGAATTTTCAGCATTTTGGTACAATATTCCAGTTAATTTAGTCGCCAGCGGTGAAACCGAACACACAAAAAAGGTAATTTTACAGGATCGATAATGCCAGTTTTTGTTATTTTGGCATTTGCAATGACAATAAGGTCAAAAATTATGAAAAATTTGTAAAACAATTATGATGATAATAATGTTAAAAGCTAAAATTATGAGTTAATTAAAATAGTGTCATCATAAATTACAAATAGGGCGGGCCAAATATGGTAACGTTGTTACTATTATTGTTTCCTTTAGTTCACGAGGGGAACATAGGGCTTCAGTTGCACATTTCCAGTGCGTTCTGTCCTCTGCCAACGTTTTCAACTGACTCCACGTCTGCACACATGCATTCATCTCCTCTTCACATGACCTTCTCTAAGCCCTCACACTGATGAACAACACCTCCATTTCTTTCTGCACATTTATTGCAAAACTGGTTCATACTGACTGGTTCATATAGGGTTGGTTCGTTCATTGCCAGAGATCCTTCCCTGTTGCTGATTTGTTCTGGCTGGCCACCTGATCTTGAGTAGTATTGAGTGAAGACAGCTATTGTTGACTGATGAAGGTCTGTAGTTTGTTCAAAGTGTCCTTCGTGACGTGGCACTAAGACTCTGATCCGTCTAGCAAGAAGCACTGACTTCACATTGCAGTTGAAAATCCGGATCTTATTTCATTTTTATGCTGAGTAGTGTTGTTTATCTCCACACAGACTTGAGAGCAATGAAAGCTTGCCTTGCTTTCTTGATCCTCGTTGCTTTGATACCCTCGTCGGTTCTGTCCACCTATAGTTGAAAGGATGCTTCTTAGGTATATAGGTCTGTAAAGGAGGCTGCAATGGCGATTCACTTGCTAAGCCCTGAACTCTGCATACAGAAGTTCGTTCACTCACTACACTTGCAATAGACTTAATCTATCTTATTACCCGACAGGGAAATTCTACCTAATCTTTTTTGTCTGTCTATTCATTAGTATTATTTTGTCTTTTCAATTGTAATATTTTACATTTTCAACTTTCCTGTTCTCTACCCCCACTCGATTTTATTTCAACATTTCACTACCACTGTTACTGACTTGACCAACGCTTAATTTCTAGTCATTTATAATACGTCATCCAACTTGTTTGCTCAATTTCAGTTCTAATTTAAATGGCATTATTCTCTACTCCACCTCTACTTAGTCTTTACTTGTAATTTCCTCTGTTGCTACCCTGACCTAAGTTGAAACATTTTAGTCAATTATATTATGTCATCTAACTTACTAACTCAATCTTACTTTAGTTGCTGTCCAATTAACCTTGTTTCTATTTTAGATCATTCTTGTGTTACCTGATTAATTATCTAAACTTGACAAACCTCACACACACAAATAATTATATATAAATACGATTGTACAGCTATGTGAATGAATTCGCCGAAAAGAGTCTCTTCGCTGAATGTCTTCTCTCTTTCAGATTTCTCCCACTTATGCTGACTGTTGTTGTTGTTGATGTTGCTCTTGACCAGGAATCTTCACAACCTACCTCTGTTTTCTCTATGCTCCCCTGAAGTCCTTCCTATCTTTGATGCTTTTTCGGTCAACCTGTTGTTTTTCACTTACATAGCTTCCAATTTGTGGGAAATTAGACATATATCACATCGGCGAAACCCTGACCCTCCAAGTTTTTTTAAGTGTATCTATTTTATGCCTATCTCCTCATTGTACTTGGTTGTACTGGACATATAATCTTTTATGATGACTATGACTCCTACCTGATGAGATTTAAAGGGGAGAGTTTTGAATGGAAAGGTTGTAAAGAGTCAGGGAATATGTATTTGGACTATTTTTCACATGAGTTTTGGTGTTGACTAAATGGCACACCACTTGTCCTTCTGACAACCTTTGATACCCTTCACATTATTACGTAGTCTTCTCTGAGTGAGTACCACAGGAAAGGCTAAGAGGGTTGTACAGAGTTGTACAGTTATATTAACTGATGACCACCTTTCGAGCACAAACTATTGCCACTCATAATCATATCAAGTTACTCACACAACTTTTTTCTTTCATTTATGTACATGTGTGGAATCGATTTAGATATTGGATTAAAAATCAATGTGAGATAATGTGCACTGATTGATATCAATTAGAGAACTAATCAAAAACTGACCAGTGAGTATTGAATAGTTGTTTCGTCCTAGTCTGCGACTCATCAGCAGTAATGCGCCCAGCATAGGTCTGTCTGTCTGTTTTCGACATAGAACTTTGCACAAATGTGCGGAAGTTCAAATCGCCACACTCCGTATAGCACGCGAAGCAAGAGAAGAAAGTACAAGAAAAGTATAATAGAGAAAGTGAGCAGAGGTGTGAGACAAAGGAGTAATAACGAAGAACAAAACAGTTTCATTGGAGATCATAAGTCACAAGGAGTGGATGCATCTGCGCCACTGAGAGCGATTTTGAGCCATGTCACCAATTGTTTCCAACCATAGATTTTTATCGTCCCGAGGACCCCAGCCTGGAAGTCTACACCTTCCTACGTGGCTTAGACCAACTGTTGTGGATTTCATTGACTGGTGCCAAGTTTTTGTTTGACCGCCGCTGTCTAGCTCTTTTCCAGCCTGACCCTATATCCGCTAACATTGCTCGTCGAGGGAGGCGATGACTTGGCATACGTAACACATGTCCTAACCATCTCAGTCTTTGTAACTTCACGACTTCGTCGTTTGATTTCCCCTGTTTTCCTAGAACTCTACGCCTAACCTCAATGTTGCTTACCTTATAATGCTACTTTACACGGGAAATAGAGCGCAGGCACCTATGATCAAAGACAGCTAATCTTTTCATGTCTTCCACTCTCAGTGGCCAGGTCTCACAGCTAGCCATAAAGGAGGACGGAGCGGACTGATGAGCAGTACACCCGCCCTTTGGTCGATGATAGTCGAACATCTCGTCTACGCCAGAGTCGGCGTAAACTAACAAATGCGAAACGAGCCCCTTGTATTCGTGCTGAGATTTCGTCAGAGATCAGCCCATTGGGGCTGATGGTACTTCCCAAATAAGTGAAGCGGTCAACGTGCTCTACCACTTCACTTCCTATTTTTAAACTAGGTGTCGACGTAGTCCAGTCCTGTAACATCATCTTACATTTGGTGGGAGCGAATCGCATGCCAAACATTCGTAGATTGCAGCTCAAGGTGTTTAGAAGACTTTGCATTTCGTCAGCATCTTCGCGTAGAAGGACTATATCGTCTGCAAATTCCAAGTCAACAAGATTATTCCCTGGTAGCAAGTAAATCACTGAGTTGCTGAAGTCACTTAGGGTTAAGTCCATTAGTAAATCTATGATGAAGTTGAATAGAAAAGGGGATAATGGGCATCCAGCATAGGACTTCAAACCCACGACCTTCCGGTTACAAGTCAACCTCATAGACCATTTAGACTGCAGCTTATGAATACTGACTTCTACCAATTTATGATTTTAGAGCGGCTGGTACAAGCCAATATCATCCTTAGCGAGTATTTTTTTTTTCCTCACATTTGACCGATCATGCAAAAACCACGTATTGATAGAAGTTAGAATTATTCATGAGCTTACCACTGAGGAGTTGGGACTGGATGGCTCAATGATCTACGAACGTGACTTGTAACCGGAAGCTCAAGTAAGTTCAAGCATCTTGTGTATGTGGGTGCGTACTGCAGACGAATTCCAAACTAGGATGAAACACCTGTTAAGACTTTACTAGTCGTGAATCCATGTAGACGTGTTAAAAGCATTTTAAAATTTAATTTTCATAACCATACAGCAAATGTATGCCTGTGTCAGCTCACATTCATGAAAAATGTGTCTATGATGGGATTTGTGGAATCACAATCATTGCGCGAGCCTAATAGCCTATCCGTTTATCTAACTATTAAACAGGATTATTTTTCTAAATGGTTAGTTGGTTTGACTACCTCGAATACACACACACACACATACACATACACGTACAGACTCAGACGTATATATGCATGCACTCTCGGTTAAACATATCTGAAGTCGTCTGTGGGATCTTGTCTAGTACAAACTATGGGATATTTCTCAGCTCACAAAAATTTCTCAAAACTGATTTCTTTACAGGCGTACACAGACACACACACACACGCACACATACGCATCATTGTAAGTGTGTTCACGCCACAGCATACAACCTTCTAGCAAACAGACATACATACACACGCTTACATGATACATGTTTTTGCAGCTGTACGTGTATGTATGCGTATGTCTGTACAGATTATGTAGCAGAGCACACGTACAAAGCTGAGGATAGCTAGCTAGATAGATAGATCGATCGATAGATAGATAGATAGATAGCTAGACAGATAGATAGATAGATGGGAAGACAGACACATTTTCCTGACGAAGGGGAAACAAGCGGTTAGTAAAGTCTTGATTTTGATTACCACTATTACCACTATTCTTTCTACTCTCTACTCAAATTTATCGTAAATTATTTGATCAAATCAAATCAAATCACATAACACAAATTGATAATAATTCACATTACATGCAAAACTTCACAAATAGTCTGTGTATTTAGAAAAAAAAATTGCTCAAAAATAACCCACAAGGATAGCAGGAAGCAAGGAGGGTTACATAGACGAATCCATCAGCACTAATTACTTACTGATTGTTAAATCTTGTATTATTACACAATATTATCCTGTTCGGCAGTTTGGGCGTGTTTGAAGGTATTTGTGCATGGGTGCGTGTGTGCGGATTTATGTGATGACCGAATAAAACCAAGCTGTTTATCGATTGAATACAAGTGAACGGTTATCTTATACAAGCAAAAGTAAGCAATTAACTCATTAAAATAATAATAATATTATAATAATAATAATTATTATTATTAAGCATTATTTTAACAGTTTTTATGTTACTATAGTATTTTGAAAGTATTAACAGACAACGTGATTAATATTACCATTGACCACTGTCAATGTTTGAGAATCAGAAGTGGTCTTGTGAGGCTGACTTAAGTGATTGATTATTTCGATATATACGAGAAGGAAGACAAATAATCCATGTGATAATCAGAGGGGGATTAGCTTGACCAATGCGTGGAGTATGCGCTGCTCATGAGAAATAAACACGACAGAACTAGACAGGCTTTAGACTAGGAAGAGAGTGTATCGATCATATCTTCAACGTTCGACAGATTCTCGAACATAGGCATACTCATCACCGGCGTCCAACAATCGTCATATTTCTTGACCTGAAGGCAGTATTCGATTCCTTCGAGCAAAGGGTACCATGGCAATGTTTGGCTGTGAAAGGGTGGTCGAGAAGATACACTGCACTAATCAAGGCAATCTACTCAAACTCGGGTAGTCAGCCAGGTGACAGCCTACAAAGAATTGTCATCTAAAGTGGTAACAACCACAAGGTATCCGTCAAGGATCCTCATTGTCCCTGTTTCTGCTTAATTTCGTCATAGAGGTACTAATGGACTTAACTCTAATTGACTTCAGCGACTCAGGGATTGATTTGTTGCCAGGGTGGGAATAATCTCGTTGACTTAGAATACGCAGATGATATAGTCCTTGTAGGTGAAGACGCTGACAAAATGCGGAGTATTTTGAACACCCTTAAGGACGGCAATCTATGAATGTTTTGCCTGCGATTCGTTCTTGCTGTCAAATATAAGATGATGCTACAGGAATGAACTAAATCGACTCCTGGCTTAAAGATAGACAGGAGGGAAGTGGTAGAGCGTATTGACCACTTGACTTACTAGGGAATTTGCATCAGCCTGCTACAATGGGTTGATTGCTGACGAAATCTCAACACGCATATAGATGACTCGTTTCGCATATGCCAGGTTACGTCATCTCTGGGGTAGACGTAATATCCCACTGGCTATCAATCAAATCGCGTGTGTGTACTACTACGATCCATCCTCCTCTATGGCTATGAATGAGACATGGCTTTTGAAAGTGGAAGACATGAAAACCAGACTATCTGTCTTTGATCATAAGTGTCTGCGTTCTATCTCTCGTTTGTGTTAGGCGGTATTATAAAGTTAACAACATTGAGGTTAGGCACCGGTTGTGTGCTAGTTACATGGGAGGGGAAATTAACCGACGAGGTTGTGAAGCAGTTATATTTACTGGTATGTCGATCGCCTTCCACGACAAAGGGGAGTGTTAGCTGACATTGAATCGGGTTGGAAAAAAAGCTAGGTGTCACCAAACCAAAACACGGCGTCATTGGCCAATAAAATCCACAATATAGGCAGATGTAGATTGATTGGCTGGTCAGGATACACGGGATGGCTTAAGACAATCGGTAATATGGCTCAAAATCGTTCTCGATGATGGCACAGGTGCATTTATTCATTGTAATTTGTCAGTTATATCCAATACATCCAATACTGTTCTCCCATATTACCATTCTCTTTTCCTCACTCACACTTCTGCCTTTTATCTTACATACTCATATGATTCTGTCTTTACTCTCATTCTCCTCTTGTTTTGTGTGCTACATGGAATGTGACAACTTGAACTGGCACACATCTGTGCAAAAGTCTTCGATGAAACCAGTCAGTCAGTCAGTCAGTTACTACTGATCGTAGGCAACTGGGTTCTGAGTGGAACATAGAACTTCAACCACATATATCCCACTTTACATGGTTCTCTGAAGCCCACTTTAGCTGAACCCATCATTACCCATAGGCACTAATCACCTCCTAATACTATCTTCTTCACGTCACCACCAGACACACGGTGAACTCGAAGTTTCCCCATTCTGATTCCACTAGAGCGATGACCTAGTGTAACAACAGAAGACAAGGGCCAGGCAACAGATCGTTTTATTATGAAAATCAACACGTATTTATATATATTTCACCTACATTATTATAGCTTATGCAAGTAGACAAGCGCAGTTATCTGATTGGTTGTTTATCAGAAGATAGGCAGACAAACGCAGGCTTCTGATTGGTTGTTTCGGGATTCCTCGACAAATAGAGTTCTCTATCTGCGAATCATATGTTGCCACGTTAACTTTGCTGTGATTGGTTGTTGAATCAGCCTTGCTCATATTTTCTCACGGCCTGCTCTCACCACACTAGCGCCACATGTTAACCGAAAGTCTCCTAAGCGTGTGTGTGCAAAATCCATTTCCATTTTTTTTTCAGAATATTTGTTGAGTGATAGGAGCTTGGTTAGTTTGTTCTCACAGTTTCTCATGGCTGATTCTTTCTGATCATTTGATTGTCATTATGGAGAGAAAAGAGCTGTTAATAAAAGTCGAAAATAGCCTGTTAAGAATGCTTCCCGTGACTGATGTGCTTATCAAGTTTTTGATTCATATGAAGGAAGAACTGGTTGACTTAATAACACTGGTCTTGAAAATCAGAAGATTTCTAAACTGATTTCAGAATGATGACGGTCTGATTTGCCCTTCCAATTATGGCTGGTTTTGACATCTTCATCTGTTCTGACAGCCTATGGTTGAAATGATGCTGACTGCCTAGATAAGTGGAAAAAGTAATCTCTATTAAATCTCTCCCAAAGATGATGATGATGATGATGATTAGCGCTAGATGTTGTTGGTAGGTTGTTGTCATCACTTCCGTCTTCTCTCTGTGTTCACCTGGAGTCCCTTCTTCGTCGGTTTTTAGCCTGTAAATCTTCGAATTTATGTGACATTATCCGCGAACTTCAGATCTTCTAGAGTCTCTTAACCATCCAATGGATATTCCTCTTTCCTCACTTCCCACAGTTTGACACATAATCCAGTCTACCACAATTCAGAATTTTGTCGGTGATAATAGCCAGACAGCTTTATCTTATTCCTGTATTCACTTCAAACCTCTCGCTGAGTTTTCCTTTGTGAACCACTTGACACGTGCCATTGCCATATAACTTTTGAATGAGGTTGAGGTACGCCATAGTGTTGTAGTAAATTTCAAATTACTTCATGGTCAGTGCCGTTCTTTACCTTTTCAACGTCTATGAAATTGAGGCAAAGGTTTGACTGCTGGCTAACTCACACCTATGCCACATTCGCTTAGCTGGCAGTAACCCTGACAAACGCTCACAACTTGCTCTTGAAGCCTTTAGTCCCACTTGGAAAGATTAGGAACAAAATAGTAGGTTCAGAATTTCGTCATGAATTGAAATTGGTTAGAGGACCATTGGAAAACTAGCTGGGAGTACTGGACAGCTGTTTCGTCCTAGTGACTAGGACTCTTCATCAGTACAAACCCATCACAGGGGTTCCAACCCAAGACCCTCGGGTTACAAGGCCACTTCTTAGCCCATTGCGCAACTGAGATCCGCCAATCCAATGGTCATCCCATGAATTCCTGTTTCGGCCACTAGCGAATGTCATGTGTGATGAGTATTTGTCCTCACACCCGAACTGCTGTATCCTACTCGACGTGACTTCCCACTAGAAACAGACGTCCAGTAATCCCGATTGGTTTTTCTATGGTTCTCTAACCAATTTTAGTCCACGACGAAATCGTGAAACCAATCAAATCCCTGCAAACTAACACCAGATAGTGATAATTAATAAATAGGAAGGGAATGACAACTATTCAATCATATTTTGCGTTAATTCTGAATTGTGCCCGAAGTTTAATGATTCACACCACTGTTGAACCATTTGTTTCGTAGTTAGATTGTCGACCCTTATTGTGTAGGAGAAAGAATATTGGACAACTGTTTTGTTTACTGTTGAACTCTTCAATAGTACACCTTCATGATAATACCACGAATTAATCCAAGGCTTTCAAAGTACGAGGTCATTACACTGACCATTCAACTTGAAGGTCCCCGGTTAAAGATACGTCTTTCTGAAAAATGTCAACATGAGATGACAGCCGTTTAGGAATTCCTCGTTCCCCGTGGCTCTCTAATTAATTCCAATAAGTAATCTTTTATCAAATCTTCCGAAAAATGACATTTATTTTAAGTTGAGTGATTGACAGTCTCCAAATTCTCGTGATTCTTGTGGTACGGCCGAACTGTAGTCTAGTGGCACTGATGCCTAACATTTCTGATACGCTAATTGACTGATGTCAGTCAGCAGGATTCCTTATCGTAACTTGGATCACTACACCTTGAAATATGTCACCTCGAAGGTCCCCCTCGTAGACCATTGAGCCACTGGGACCCGATCCAGTGGTCCTTGAATTCTAACTTCTGCCAATTCACGATATAGCGTGACCACTTCGTAATGTCTTCTTCGATGAGTTACTGTCTCATCTTCAACCTGCTGATATAGGATCAAGTTGGAAAAGAGCTAATGGTGGCCGAATGAAAGAATGGAATAAATCCATGAGGTGTTTAATATTTAGTCTCAGCCAGTCACATGGAGGGGTGTAGAGAGTGCCAGTATGTTTGGGTTCCTCGGGATGACCAGAAAAATTGTTGATATGGCTCAAAACTTAGGAGTACTCAAGTGATCCTCTAACTGATGTCAGCTCATGATGAAATGCTCCATTCAATCAAATAAAAGTCCCTACAAAACCAATAGTTGAAAATTAATCTGATGTTCACTAGCGACTGGCCCTATTCAGGCAGGTAGTTACCTGGGTTCCAGTGGGAAGCCGTGACCAGTAGGGTACAGCAGGTCGAAGATGAGGCAGTAACTCATCGAAGAAGACATTGCGAAGTGGTCGCGCTATATCGCGAATTGGCAGAAATTAGAATTCAAGAACCATTGGATCGGGTCTCAGTGGCTCAATGGTCTACGAGCTCGCCTTGTAACCAGAATGTCCTGGGTTCGAACCGTTGTGGTGGGTGCGTACTGTTGAAGAGTCCCAAACTAGGACGAAACAGC